GAATTATGTAACTAATATTGATTAATTAACGATAATTGCAATGACAGACAATTCCTATATTTGTAAATAACCGATAAACAAACGAGTGTAGGCTAAATCGATTTGGCGTGTTATAATTCATATTGTGATCATGAAAACAGGTGGGCAGCTGTTTAGCAATCGTCGGCGTTGGTGTTGGTGTTGTCTAGGCGACTATAAAAGCACCGATAAACACCGTATCAAGCAGGTATGATCAACATTAGCCATAAAAAACTCCATGGAAAGCCACCGGTCAAGAAATCTCTTCGATCCAAAGACGTTAATCTGAAGCAAAGTGAACTTGCCATGGAAAATGTTTCTTATGAGAAAGAAAAAGATAATTCAAACCCAGCTATAAAAATGAAGAAAGAAGACTACAACCAAAACATCATCGAATCGACGACGTGCTCGTTTGAGCAGCTCTGCGATATGATTAGCAACTTGGAGCACTTGGACGACAACATTGCGAGCAACGTGGAAAACATTGCTAGCGAGATGCCAGAGATTAATCTCCAGGTTTGAATTGCTTGTAGAATGATCTTATTGTTAGTTTAATCTAAATGCGGAATTGAATAGGGTTTTTTCTTGCAGCTCGAACCAGAGAAAGACAACTCCAAAGAAAAACGTGAAACAAACGAGTCTACTTACGACGACATAATGTCCTTTTTAACGAAACTCGAAGATGGTATACTAACATTTAACATAAGCATACGAGAAGAATATCATTGACTCTGTTCACACAATGCACCTCTACGTGACACTTTTCTCACGCGCGTATACATGTATTACACTACCCATCTCGACGTTAGAATTTAATCAATCAGGATTCTTCTGAGGATTTTCAATGTTTCAGGTTCTCTGGATTCAACAAAGGTGAACGTACCTGAGGTGGACGCAGTAATTCTTCAAGAGATATTCAGTTCGAAACGTTTGGCTTGCGTTAATTACGACAGGTGAGAATTCGCTAATAGTTGGGGCCTTATACAGGGTGAGTCACTTGAAACAGACTCTTACTCAAAAGTAACTATCTATTTAACTGTCTCGATCTTGTTGGTATAGCATTGTTGCAACCGAGGTTACAAACCGTATCCCTCGAGTGTTCGAAGAAGACTTAGCCATGGCACGATTACAACTAGAGGAGAGAAATGCCACTATAACGATTCTAAAGGATCAGCTCAAGTCCGAACGAAAGCTTGTCTGCGAGAAGTTGGATGCTCAGAGTAAAAGTAACGCTTCCAAGCTACTGGCACAGAAAGAGAAATACAATGCAATCGTGAAGAGGCATCAAAAGTTTATCGAGCAACTCATCTCTGAGAAAACTGATCTGACAGAAAAGTGTAACTCATTGATGGAGAGAGTCAACGAGATGGAGATTAAGGTACAGAGAGATCTGAAATGCGCCGCTGACAGACACTGCGTGGAACTCCAAAGGGCAAAGGAACACTATGCAGCAGCAGAAAGGATCAAAAGGGAGCGGTGGATAGAATCTAGGACCACAAAGATCAAGGTATTCTTTGTACCGAGAAGAAATATATATGAGTTCTGAAGGTGCGATTTCAAGAATAAGTGCAACGACGAATGCTAACGCTGCGGTAACACTTCCAGGAGATGACTGTGAAGGGTTTGGAGCCTGAGTTGCGAAACATGATGGAGCAGCATGCCGAAGAGATGCTAGGGCTAAGAAACGCGCACATGAAGGAGCTCCAAGATACAGAATTGAGAGTAGTAAGGAGATCTAATCAACAGTTGGAACAACTTCGATTAGAACTCACGGATAGCCATGAAAGGATGTTAACCAACGAGAAGAATATTTTGTGGGCCAGGTACGATACCGCGATTCGCGTTACTCTAAATGTTTCAAATGGCGTCTACAATTCAAAGTGTCCTTTCTGTTCTGTTAGATACAAGGAGAAGTTGGAGGAGCAAGAAAGACAATTTAAAGCGCAAGAAGCGAAATTCGCGGAAGAACTGCAACGTGACAGGGAAAGATTTAGCAAGAAACAAGATAAACATGACGCTGAAAGAGAAGCTGCGTTACAAAGAATTCAACTGCAATGTCAGGTAAAAATGAAATTCCAAATTTTTAGCCTAGATATTCTTTCTTATAAGAAACTCCGAATTTTGTATAATAAAACCCTTTAGGATTGAAGATGCCAACTAACAATATTTTCAGTGAACTAATCTACATAAAGTATTTATTTTTAGCAAGAAATAGAAGCTCTGAGACAACAGCATACAAATGAAAAGAAAGCTCTTCAGCAGTCACTGAAGGCGGAATGGGAGGCTTGGCTTGCAGACTACAAGAGACAGCAAAATCTAAAGCTTCAAAACACCGAGAGCGATATAATAGACAAATGCTACAAGGAAAGGGACCGACAAATCGAATTAGCCATTGAACGCCTTGAAAAAGATTGCCGAGACACGAAGTTAACCCTTCAGCGAAATTTTGATAATAAATTTAGGTAACTTTAGCAGTTCGTTAAAAAAACTTTTTGTGTAAATTTAAACTCCGTGTTTGAGGTTTCTAGATATACATATAGTCGTGTACTATTCCAGATTATTGAGGGAAAAGTTCGAAATGGACTTGCAAACCGCGATCGACAATGAAAAACTTTATAAAAATAAATTAGCACAGACAGAAAATAAACTTAGTCAAAGTGAAATTCAATTACAGATGGTGGAAAAAAAATTACAAGAGTATCGGTCTGATTGGAAGAACATAAACGAGGTATGCGGTACGATTCCCAAAGATTTATTCATTTGCGATAACATAACGTTTTCAGGCGGTTAAACGATCAACTATGGAAAAGGAAAATGCTAAAAAATTAGCTAGGCAGGAAATTGAAGTAGAAAAAAGGGAATTGGAGGAAAAGATTGCTTCGCTTTACCAAGAAATATCTCGAAATAATGCAAACAGAGACGCTTCCATGGCTCAACTGCACAGCAGGTTCCATTTGTCAATAGACAATTTATTAAACAGAGTGTTTTCTAGTTTAATTCATGAGTTTTCTACGTTTCAGAATTAAACTGATAATGACTCAAAAAGTCCTGACGATAAAAAATCTCACCAAACAACTGGACGATGTTAAATCAAAGTGCCAACATTTGGAAAAGTTGGTGGACCAGCAACGGAGAGAATATATTTTAAAATGTTTATGAGTAGGTATTAATTACGTTTATCGGTTATGTGTTTTATTTTATTTGTATCGCTTTTGTCGGCCAGCTAACTTGCGTTTAAGAAATAATTAGTAATATACATTTATTCCATAAAAAACTAATATTCAACCATTCCTAAAAATATTCTGATCTGTGTGTGTGTCTGTGTGTGCGCGCGCACGCGTCTTGAGTTTTGGGCGTATTTTATTTTTTATTATATAGGCTCGCAAGAAGCAAAGGAAAAAATCAATTTAAAAGCTTCGATTCAAGTGTAAAAGACAAAACCACTTATAAAAGTACATTTGAATGAATCGGTTCTACTTGGATTGCATGTAGAACTGAAATTATACTTTTTTCACAATTTGTACAACATCTTCATCGCATAAAACGTGATCTTTTCCAACTTTCTGTGGTTGATGTTTCACCGATGACCCCCACACAAGAGCACTAAAAATAACAGAAAAGAAAAAAAATTGCAATTATCGATTCTTTTCAAGCATAAACGTGTCGAATAAACTCACTATTTAAATTCTTTTGCGATCGATCGGTGAAGTTTGTTACAAAAATCTTCGACGGTTCGCTTCTCTCTATTCAATACTACAGGAGAATTATAATCAGGAAGCTGTCCTTTAGGTTTGGTATAGCTGAGAAAATAGTAAAGTGAGGTAAGTAAATTGATAATTTTTAGAGAAATTAAAAATTAGAAAACTCACATGCGCACCAGTTGTAAGTAGTCCCACATTTTTTCGAGCAGGTCATCAAAGTTCCACTTATGATGAGCAGAAATAGGCACGCAATGAGGTATTTTATAAATGACATCTAGTTCTTCGATACTGATCTGATCTGAAATTAGACACAGCCCATGTTTCTAATCAACTTTGTCGATTAGGTGAAAAATGCTGGTTTAAATTAAAGCATCAGATCACACTACCTATTTTGTTGAGCAAATAAATACAAGGTACATAAACACGGTTTCCCTCAATGACATCTATCAGATCATCAGATGTAGCATCATAACGCAAAGTAATATCAGCATTGTGAATTCTGTACTCTGACAGAATAGTTTTCACATTGTCTATATCAAGTTCTGATTGTAGACACTAAAAAGTAAAGTATCAATATGATGAATCAAATTGCAAACAGTCTTTTTTATTTTCTATAATTACCGTTGTCTGAAAGTTGATGCCACCTTTGTCCTTCTTCCTGAAGGTTATGTTTGGTGGCTGTTTATTCAATCGTAGACCAAAGCCTTCCAATTCGTGTTCGATCAACCTTTTGTGTCCAAGTGGTTTCAGTACATCCAAAACAATGAATATTAAACTACAGGTTCTAGCAACCGCTATAACTTGTCTTCCACGTCCTTTACCATCTTTGGCACCTTCGATAATACCAGGCAGATCCAATAACTAAGATAGATAGATAAATAAGAAGATAAATAATATTTAAACAAGGAATGCAAAAGCATAGAAACAAGCATAGAAACCTGTATTTTTGCGCCTTTGTACTTTATACAACCCGGGACGGTTGTAAGAGTTGTGAATTCGTATGCTGCGACTTCGGAATACACACCCGCGAGAGTACTCAGTAGCGTAGATTTACCAACAGATGGGAAACCTATAATGATTGTGCAAACAAAATTAGAAAATTGCTTTACTTGGTTGCAAAGGGTAGAAGTTGAACTTGATACACACCAACAAAACCTATTCTAGCATCTCCAGTTTTGGCCACTTCGAAACCTTGCTCCCCGCCTCCTCCGCCGCCTTTGGGAGTTATGAGCTCTCTTCTCAGTTTAGCTAATTTTGCTTTCAGTAAACCTAAATGCCCAGACGTGGCTTTATTTTTTTGGGTACGAGCCATCTGTTAGAAAACATAACTTGAGACAGAAAACTTATAAAATTAAATACGAAGTGAATTGATAGATCGAGACGGAAGTGAGGTTACCTCGGCTTCGATCGAAGCAATTTTCTCCAGAATTGTGCTCATCTTGGAATAATACGATTTAACGAACTTTTCTCAATTTTTATGTTTAATACACTTTCTTTTTTTAAGATCTTTCTCTTTCTTCCATTACAAATTCACGTTATCATGCACGTGCTGACAAGTTATACACGCATGTTACACACAATAGTGCATCCAAAAAGGTCACCGCTCACTAAGCCGCTCAGTGAGCGAACTTTATGGGGAAGGTTTACCCATATTATATTTTAATGTAGACTAAATAAAAGTTTTGATTGAATAAAAATTTCTAATATTTATTTTAAATGATCTCTCTTGCTTAATGAATTGACAGAAAGTGTGTTAAAATATTTGAAAGACAAACAAAATTAAATTATGTTTCACAAAAGACAATCAAATGAATAACATCGAGTTAACAGTTAGTTCTTCTTTATCGATGGTCTTCATAAATCTTCTTATCGACGGTCTTCATAAATCTTCTTATCGACGATGAAGAGTGCGTCCACCACAATTTTAGCACTAGTGGTACCATCGGTGGAAGAACGCCTAAGTTTGCAGTGAAAATAGTTGCCAATGTTGTGATTAGATGGCGCCACTACCTAAAGGGTTGATGCTAATTGTTGCATTAATAATAATAATGTTTAAATTAGATACTAAAATAATATATCGTAGTGTTGCAAATCGAAGAATCGTATTAGTTGTGTATTTATAAAAAAAGAAAAGAATATTTGAGCGAACGTGTCAGTGGCGCTATCTAGCGGCAACAGTGATAAAACTATAGCTTTGATGGCTATATGTAGTTTTCTGTGACAGATAGGTTAACCTAAAACTTCATAATACGTAAAGGATTTTTCAAATTTTATTTTGTCGTAGACAATAAAATAACATTGACCAAACGACAAGATAAATCAAGAACCTGATCAATGAAACAGACACATTACCTTTCAATCCATAACATAACTGGAAAAAACATAATATTTAATCATGCCGGTTTTCCAGGAATCTTGCGCGGAGGTACTATTTTAAATAGTTCGATAAAGTTGTTTATGCAGGTAGAGCTCACTAATATCCTGCAAATTTTTTTTAATTTTAGCAAATCCAAGCTCAAACTATTGTTATAATTCATCCTGGCTCTATGTACCTTAGAATGGGTCGAGCATCAGACCTGAATCCTTGTACTATACTAAATGCTGTTGCGAGAAGACGTTTGCCAGAAGGATTTGAATACAAAGATAGTTTATTACCACCAGCTATTCCACGAGTAAGTTGATCCACAAATACTTTTACAAAGGTCTCTTATTCTTTATTGTTTTTAGTAGACAAAAGAGTTAACACAAGCAATGGAAGAATCACGCCTCCAGGTATCCCATACTTTGCAATCTTGTCTTCAATCTGATGGAAGAAGAAGATATGCCACACCTCCACAGCAGATAGCTGCTTTTAATCGCAGATCAAATCCAGAAATATCCTCTCCATGTAGCGTCGAATGGATAAAAACAAACAAAGACATAGTGGTTGGAGATGATGTATTGTCTTTAAATCCAGATGATAATTTTAATATTCACTTTCCATATAGGAGAGGGGAACTTAATGTACATTCAGGGCCTGGTGGTAGTCTACGAGCCATCATGGCTGACTTGAAAACAATTTGGGAATATGTTCTTACAGAGAAAATGAACATTCCATTAAGAGATTTGAAACATTACAGAGCTGTTCTCATTGTACCAGACATCTATAACAGGCAATACTTGAAGGAATTTACAACTCTGATGCTCTGTGACATTGGATTTGGAGCATGTTTTCTCTTACAAGTTAGTATACAGTAGTTATTATGGTTTCTATGTAGGTCAATTGTACAATTTTTCTTCTCTCATACTTCTTCTTTGGAAGGATCATGTAGCAGCTACATTTGGTGCAGGATTAGGCTATGCATGCGTCGTTGATGTTGGAGATCAAAAAACTTCAGTGTCCTGTGTAGAAGATGGAATTTCTCACAGGAATACAAGAGTGCGTATGGATTATGGAGGAGGGGATATCACTCAGACATTTTTCTGGTTGCTTCAGAAGTGTGCTTTTCCATACAAAACGTGCGATCCTTCGAATAAATTAGATGCATTGCTTTTAAATCAACTCAAAAAAGATTTTTGTCATGTTGATTTAAATATATGTGGCTCCCAGGAGAAGACATTCGTGGTTAGGAAACCCAAACAACAAACAGAAAAATATACTCTTCAAGTATTCAAATTTATATATAAGATTTTATTCGACGTAATTTACAAATTCTTTGATTGATTCATACTTGTAACAAATACCTTTTTCAGGTTGGAGATGAATGTTTGGTAGCTCCACTTAGTTTGTTTCAACCGGAATTATTCAAAGTTAGTGGAATGCATAGCGTACACATACAAAAGAGATCAATGGGAGATCCCGAAGATCCACACGATGAAAATTACTTGAGGGAAACAAGCGTAAGTAGGACGTGTTTATTTATTTTGACTCGAACAACCGTTAAACTTGTTGCTTCAGAGAAGGGGCATAAAAGAAAATTTGGAGCAAACGTGTGAAATGCAAGAGGAAGCAACTGTTCCCACGGTAGGAGGAGAAGAAGAAGTGGTGGTAGATGCTGTGGATTCAGCACCGATTGCCTTGTCGAATAGAGATTTGGACGCTCCGCGTGATTTTATAGTTGGCCCCCAGCAGCTATTAGGCCTGGATCATGCCGTGTTGCAAAGCATTGATCGCTGCCGTGTGTATTTAATGGATTATTAAAACAAAGTATTTATTTTATCTACTACAATATACTGATATTTTACAGCTACAGAAGATTTGAAAAGAAAGATGTACAGCTGTGTACTTGTCGTGGGATCGGGTATGAAATTTCAAGGCATCGGCATGTGGCTACATAATCGGATCTCTCTTCAAATTCCCTACATGTACAGAGCTGGTACATTCACTCATCTGTTGATTTAGAGTTTTCAAAAAATGTCTAGGGCAACTCTTTCATTTTCTATATCATTGCAGAACAACTTGATATCATAACACAGCCTAAAGAAATGGACCCTGGTATGACAGCATGGAAAGGTGCTGCTATCTTGAGTTGCCTGGAATCTGCTCAAGAATTGTGGATTGGTCAACAAGAATGGGAGCGCATCGGTGTTAGAGTACTGAGAGAAAAAGCACCCTTCATGTGGTGAAATATCAATGAGCCAAAGTATTGTTTGTAAGTGTATTTTGAGAAAGGTCTTTAATTCTCTATATTTACACACTGTGTAGTATTAAAATTAAATACTATATAGGATCTCTTTTATACTTCTTAAATTTATACAATTAAATTGTAAGTCATTATACCTTGAAGTCTTATTAGAAAAATATTATCTCTCATAACATATCTATTAATTTAACTTTACTTTTATCGTTTCTATGATACACAATGATGTCAGCTTCAATTAAAAAGGTTGTCAAATCCAAAACTTGCTGTGTAACATCTATGTATGCATCATCTCCACCTTTTATGTACGATGTTGTCAGAGCCTGAAAATTGTTAAATTTATTTTTATTTTTTTCTAAGCAATTTCTCATAACTTTAGAATACATTTAATATTTACTGCTAGAAATTCTATCAGGTCCTCGTTTTCAGGAAAAAGTACGTTTACCACGTCACGCTAGAAATTTAAATGCAGCTTATAAAATAAAATTTAAGTAAAATACTATTATCATATTTTTCTTAACATACCAAATCCGTCTTTACAGTTTGAAATAGCCGTTTTAGGAAGGTGTATTCTTTAATGTACATTGTACTATTCACCATTTTGGTGTGCTCTAAAGAAGTCTGTTTCATTTTCTTCAGACCTATCTTTTTGTTTTCCAAACTGCAACAAAACTGATGGATTTTAGATAATCCTCTGTTACAGTGTTTTCATAGTATATACTCCCTTTCCCTTTTACTTACTAAGATATATCATCGTTAATGTACGATAAGTTTTCTCGCAAGCTTTCGAGAAGCTTTTGGGTTGTCTGAACTTCCTCCTCCAGTTCTTTCAAAACTTCAACGTGTAAATCGGATGTTTTTAAAACAGGGTAATCTTTAGGTCTCTCTTTAAGAACCTGATTCAATAAATGTTGACAATATTTGTGTTGATTAATCCTTATATTTTCCGAATCAATGTCCTCCTTATAGGCTGTCAAATCATTCATTGACAATGCATCTATCAAATCTTCTATTTCTCGTACTCGTTCCGTCTTTGCATCTTTTAACGTTTCAAAAGCATCTTCTAGGGTGTATTCCATTCTCTGTATATCGTCTTCCATTGCTTTCAGAGAGTTTTATAAAGAGTATTTAAATTTTATAATGTAAGTACAACTTGACCGTCCCACGAAACCGCATGAAATTTAGGTTAAGTGATTCGTTTTGAATTTTAACGCCGGTACAACGGTACAAGTCAAAAAAGTGGTCACTATAGAATTCGGCCTAGTGAAATAGAGGGCGCAATGTCTCAGAGATTGTTTCTATACAACCATAAGTTTACATTAATTAGTTCATGCTATTTACCGTTAGATGGCTATTCGTTTCAGTGAAAACATTTTAAACTATTCAAAGGAGCTCTAAGACTATTGCTCCAAGTCTATGCTTTTTAACAAGGGTGCGCAAGAGACCCAGCAAAACTCCGAGTTGACTTCAGCGACAGTTGCGGAGAAAGAATGATGTCAAACGTTTGCAATTTTCCAAACAGTTATTGTAATTTTATGAGGCGAGGAAGCGACCTTTCTGGCTGATTTTTTTTTGAAACTGTTCCTTATAAAATACCGTTGCGGGAGGCAGTTACACATTTTGCAATTTCGCTTTTGAAACTTGCTAAAAATACGTTCAAAGACAAGAAATTTTTTTTTTTTAATTTTTTCCAAAAAACGCTTGACGAAACGATAGATTTACTTCTCCTGATTACGAAATGCATAATTATGATATGTTTTTTTCATTATTGTGCCTGAAAAACGGGAAAAACTATCTAGTAGTTCACCTACTTTCCGTTGGTGGCGCCAGTTTGTCTCCTGCGCGCCCTTAAACACAGTTGGCAGCACGTATGATTGGCAGTATTTCTTAACGTACTTCGCAGTTGTATAGTTACGGTTTTAAAATGTATTCACGAGTAGCGAAACGAATTTAAAACAATACCAACACTTTTCATGTATTTCCAAATTACTCTGTGTTTCAAATACTTTGTCGAATGATATTGCAAACATATGCCTTAGAGATTCGCCATAAATCTTTTTGCGCAAACGTGACGAGATCATTGAAATTTGGCGGTAACATAACCTTTATAATTATCTCGACAAAAGAATTTATAAATGATTTTTTCGAATTTCTTCTTCTATAATACTACGCCCAAAATATGAAGGAGTTGGAAGAGGTTAACTGCGAGGTAATTTTTCTTCTATAATTTCTTTTTTCTTTCACTCTATAGTCTCAAGGTCTCCACATGATTACCATGCTGCAGTAAATTCTTTAGTGTACGATATTCATTTATTCTGAAACTCCTTAGAATCCTAATATAACAGCAATTTTATTTTTACTCAGGTTCGCAGCATTGTAGACATTCAACATTCCATATTGAACCACCTTAATAGTTCAGAAGGAGATAATGGTGGATTATCAAACGGTTTGCAATTATACAGTAACCTTTGCGGTGGGTTCTTGAATGATGTTACATATGCTTGGCTGAGTTATGGTTGTCATATAATAGTTTTCAATGTTAAAACTGGAGAAAGTACTAGTTCGTGGACCTTTCAAGGAAAGATCAATTGCGTGTGTCAGTTTCCTGCAAAATCTGGGGAGCTTCCATTGCTTCTTGTTGGCTTAGATAATGAAGCCACTAGAATTAAAGATTCTGTGGGTTTGCTCTGCATATTTGATTGTACTACTTCTCGTGTCTTGAGAGCTATAAAAGTGAGTATTTGTGAAATGTTATTTGTATTATGTATATAAACCCATCTACCAATAATTTTATGAATTATCTGAAATTATTTGTATGCTTGCATAGATGCCAGCTGGTGTAGAACAAATTTGTATTGTGTCTGGGGGTGCAGAGTGGGAAGAATTCAATGATAAGAGACCTGACGACATACTCATGCAGATGGATGGCATAGCTTGTGTAGTACTACGCAATCTTAATCATCTGATGGTAGATCTTCAGAGATCTGTCTGGGAAGTATCCGATCTATCGATTGTAATGGATGAGGCTTCCCCAGCTGAAATAGAATTTCTAACAACTAAGGATTCCTTTAACCGGCATCGGTCAAATAAAAGTAAACATATGGCTTGCAACTTGTTGAATCAACGTAAGAAAACTTGTTTTTACATATTATCTAGACCTAAACCTAATCTCAGAATTAGCTCTGGGTTAGTTAGGTTGTATTTTGGTCAGATCAAGAAGACACAATTTATGTATAATTAAAATCTTATATTTATAGGTATAGAGAAGCATATTGGATTTAATAGAGAAGAATTTGAATCATCTGTTTTCCTAGATGAAAAGTTAACGAATACCATAGTCAGTTCTACGAAGATTGGCTGCTTGATATCTGGATGCTTGGGTAGAGTAATTATATGGCAAAACGATGGTTCCGTGGGATGGATCAGTCTGCCTATCAATGAAACCATGATAGTAACGCATTTGGCACTGTTGGAACCAACCGATGATCCTCGACCTTTTTATTACTTGTGGGTTGTTTTTCAAGACGATTCGTTCAAAGTACCGCCTCTATTAAGAATGTTTGCCTTATTGTTTGAACGCAAATACTGCGACAGAGGCACAAATCTTTACTTCAACTTGGAAGCCGAACCCAGTCTCAAATTTGAGTTTGAACTGGACACAAACGACAGAGTTGTTAGTCTATCCACCATAGAAAGAGGAACAAATCCAGATCAAACTGAATTAGAGTTCAAACGAGGAGAGGACAGCTTGCTACTAGTCTCTACTACTGATCGAGCCGTGCTCTTCGATTTGAATCAGTGGTACAAAGAGCAGATGCCTCAAAACATCAGCGAATGCAAAAACCCTAATAGTATATTAGCTAGTTATAACACGAGATTACGCCCTTCCACTGTTGCTAGCAGCGAAATAATCAGCTGCGCTTATGTTCCCCGTAGCCTGCAGGAATTCCCAAACAACAGTTTAAGCTCATCAGAGGAACTTTTTTACCCAAATTCATTGTCCCTTGAATGGATAGAACTGAGCTTATCCAAACTGACATTCTGGCTGTATCGGGGTATCCAAGCTGAGCTGCTACGCGAGATAGCGCTGGCAGGACCACTGGTGTTTACCCAGCCTTCCGAGATGTTCCACAAGTGTCTTTCGGTTGGCCTGGTACCCTTCAGCTCAGACGTTTCTTTCACGAGTGATCTTAACGTCCAAAGAGACATGCTGCTGTCGCTCTGCTTAGAACAGCGTTGGACCACCTTTTTGATTAGATGTGCAAAGGAATGGTCAGACGGTAGCGTGGCATACATGTACCCAATCTTCTTGAAATGGGGCATACAACGCGCCTCTTCCATAAAAATGATTGCGGATAACTTATGCATACCTCTGTTCGACCAGTCGGGCAACAACATAGGAGAATCTGAAGTGAAAACCCTTCGATTCTGCTTCCAACAGCTGGAATGTTTGTCAAACGTAGTGGCAAAGTTACCTTTTGAAACGGGGAACCTAACAAAACAGCGGAGAGCGCTTAAAAGGGTGTCCATGTACTTCCAAGTGCTTCTATGGTTCTATGATGTAGGTTTACTGCCTGAATCGCAGGACCTGGAGGATCCTATACCCCTCTCCTTTGCACTGAAGATTCCCTATCCTTACGAGAAACTGCTTTCCTTGTACAAGGAGAAGCGAGAGTCCGTTAACGATAAACAGAGCGGTGAAAACGATGAGGTTCTTTTCATAGATGAGTTGATAACACGAGAATGTCCTGTCTTGAACTTGCAGTGGGAAAGAGAGGCTGGGGACGCGTCCAACAACGGGCATTACCCACCTCCGTCGTTACAGTCATTGCTGAGGAGTTACTTGACCGACTGTAATCAAACAGAGTCCAATGAAATCGAATGCAAGCATCAAATCACCATTTATCTTCTGATGGATTTAGCGATGTTATTGCAAGGATCTTATCCTGGTGTGGACCAGCTGATCAAGTACCCCTCGTCATTCAAGATGAGCCCCAGCCTTATAAAACTCACGCAAGCATTCTGGCTTCTCGATCATGATGATTATCATGGATTCCTGGATATGATGACTGGCCCATTAATCTGTGACTCTGACGTCAAGGATTGGCACCACAACCTAGTGTTGAGGACCTTGGTGAAGAATGGCCAACACAAATTAGCGTTAATGTACTTGCGTATAAGGAAGCCTCCCTTATCCTCCGTTCGGGACCAAAGCACTTTAATTGGCCTATCGGTAGAGCATGGATTGGTCCAATCAGCCTTCCAGCATAAACCGCAATCTCACTATGCCCAGCTACTCATGTGCTTCTTTCAAGCCTGTAAAACCTACGACAAACTGGGCGACATCCTGCACCTGGCTCTGACTTCAGAGGAGGAAGAGATGTTCATCAAGTTCCTGGAGGAGTCCAAATCCGAAAATATGCGATTGCTGTACTACTTGCAGCGTTGCCGTTACATGGAGGCCAACAGTGGTTCGATGTCTGTTGCCTCTAAGTATACTCACGCAGACATGCTGAACGCTTACAATGTAACCCTACCAGATGTGATGAAGAGGTTCTCTGTCAACATGGACAAAACAAACTGGGATACAGGCTTGGAGCCAAGGTATCCCAGACCTATGACTTATAACAAGAGCTCCCAACGGGCAACGAGCCTTTACGAAACTGTTATCAAGAAAGCAAGAGAGACTTTTCTAAGAGGAGAGAAGTCTGTGATCCCTTTCATCACTGCCCCTTGTACCACCTTGAAGCTGAACGATGATAAAATCAACATAAACTGTATAACGTCTCCAAAAGTCTTGCAGACAAGTAGGAAGCGTACTTTAGACGAAGTACAGCCTGAAGAAGACAGTGGAATGAGAACTCCTGACAGGGTGAAGCGTAGAAAGTTTCTCGACGATGGCGAAACAGCCCTAAACGCTGTATTCAGCACTCCTTTAATAAAACGGAAAGTAACCAGTAACAGAGGCACTCCCATTGAGACCCCTCAGTCTATTTTAAAGATCAGGCAGCTCATGAGGAGCTCGGTGTCTCCCACTGCTAGTGGCACCTTGCAGAGGGAAGCCACAGACAGTCCAGTGTCTGACAGAGAAAAAAAGATCAACCGGCAGATACGGTTCAATATTCAGAAAAAGAACAATTCCTGTAATGGAGAGGATAGTTTTAAGCTTAGTCTGTCCGAGGGCTGTGAAGAAGCATTTTTCAGTTCTACAATGAGC